GACCAACAACAGATTTGATTTGTAGTGCTACTTGAAAAAATATATAAAATATCTGTGACTATATAATTTTCTCTGATAATGATTTAACATTCTATTGATTGTCTCAGATAAAATTAACTAACTCTTAAACAAAAAATTGGAATTTAACAAGGAATAACTTCTATCCCGGAAATTCATAATGTTAAATTCATAAAACTTTGGGTTATAAAAGTTATAAACAGAACATATAAAAGTATGCATTATACTTTTTTTTCGTACCAAAATTCACTTTAAGGGAGTTGAAATTCTGTCGTGTTAATTTAGATATCTGATCAAAAGGTGATTTGAGCTTTTGAATGATTTAGAAAAAAAATTCATTATCAACTTATCAATATTTCTCAGGATATTAATATAAAAACTTCGATTTGAAAACTATGACATGTTAAATTATTCAAAATATAAACTGTCATATCTTCGGTTTTAATTTAGATTCTTTTACAATGTAATATGTACAAATAAATTATTTTTGTGCTACTTGACATTAATGACTTATTGTTAAATGATTTAAAAGAAAGTTACAGATACTTGTGACTTAACATGGCAGAACTGAACAAAAAAATTTGATAATTTTCGATTTTTTATTGTAACTTGCAAATTATAAGAAATACAAAAAAATTTAAGACAAAAATTATCTTTTTTAATTAGAATTATTTCATGATAAAAGATTTTTCAATCGTTTATATAACTAAAAAAAAGTTATAAATAAAAATATTAATAATTTTTTGCAAAATTTTAAATTGTTTAAATAACTTTGAAATAGCATACTATTTATTTTTATACAAATTTTGTTGAATATAATTGATAAATTGTATGTTTTAATGGTCGAAGAACTTCTGGATTCCATTATACCATTGATTGAAAAACTTTCAAATTTTTACAAAAAAGTAAAATAACACAATTTTGTCTTTTATTGGACAGTAAGTAAATATGCCAAATGAAAAAGGAGAAGAGAGTTAAGATGTAATCTTTATTAGAACTTTTAATTTTTAACATAATTGCAAATTTTTAATTTATTTTCTCAAAAAGTAGACAAGATTTAATAAATAATTAAACAGTTGTGAAAACACATATGCAATCCGAATATTATGAATAACAATGACATAATAAGATAGATAGCAACAATAGTAAAAATAGTAATAGCGCATGAAAGAGGAGGACGAAAGGAAACGAAAGGAAAGAGGACAGAAGAGATTACTAATTTTGTCCCAAGTTAAATAAACGTGGCACTGTACTGAACGTGCTCACAGTGAATTTACAGACATTACTATTTTATGATTATATTATAACTACAGCCACACAAATTAATATTAAAACGCACGCATCCAACGATGTCCCTGAAAAATCTTACGGCGTCCCATAAGACAAGGGAAGGCTCTAATAATCTACTTTTATTATCTAAGAACAGTCCAGTCCAGATAACCAAAAAATTGCAAAGAAAATTTTACATAATCAAGAACAGCAAATTCTTTGCTTGATATCATTTTCCAAGTACATATATTCGGAAACATTAAGATTTGAATCGCAAATACAAACTAATATTTCGAAATATTAATATTTGGAAAACAATACCAATTACCGGGATCCATCAAGAGTATGTAACTACACTCGGTTCGTGTTATAGCATATCGTAAATTAATGTTGCTTTACGAGTTACGATTTACACTGATAGTGAATTTGAATAATTTGTTGAAAAGAAAGAACGATATCTGAAGAATAAGGTATAAATGTTCGAGCAATCAAATAATTAACTTAAAACATTGAAATAAATATTTTTAATAATTTAATAAATAAAAAATAAAATTAAACTTATTATGATAATGAAATAGTAAATTAAATTAATTATGGTAATGATAAAAGAAATTAAACTTGATTAATTGTTACAAATAAGCTAAATAACTGTCGAATATTTAGAAAATTAATTGTTATAAATGATTTATTGAAACTGTGAAATAATGTTTGGAAATGTAAAAGAATTAAATTACTGATTCAATTGTTATAAGTAAATAATTAAAATTGTTAAATAATATACAAAAATACTATAAAAATACATCAATGACTTGATTGTATAAATTAATAGTTAAAAATTTTAAATAACATTTAGAAACATTAAAAAAGAGAATTAATTGTTGAATTGTTATAAATAAATTATTAGAAATATTAGATAATGTTTAAACAATTAGAATATTCAGAAATATTATTTAAGAGTTTAATTTAAAAATTCAGTTTTAATGTTTAGTGAGTATGTATGCGATGGTTCAATTAGTACTGTGATTGTTTGTCTCGGTAGATTGTTGCCAATCAAAGTCAACCTAATTTTTTGCTTGTCAAAGATACGGAACAATTAATACTTCAAAGTCTTTAATACTTCGAAATACGGTTTGTCTATTACAGTAATTAATTTGATTATTTTCATATTTTTGTTGTTTTATAACCCCTATCAGTTTAGGGCAACAATAAATACTGTAACCTCTACAGTTTTTATGAACTGAAATTATATTTGCACTGTTAATTTTTAACTCATGTTGACATATACTAAATTCTAATTTATAAGTCTGTGACATATAATTTATGTAGAATGCAATTTATATTATAGTCGAGAATTAAGTAGTCATCTCTTAAGAATAGTTATGCAAATGAAAAATCATGTTCAATAAATAATTTTCGGTGTAGATGTAACAACATTATTGATATTTTCTAATTTTAATTCCTATTACTAGTAGCGCTGCGGTGCAAAACCTGTCTAAATCGATATGGTAGAATGTGACATGAAAATGGTACGGGAGTCAGGTGACCCCCAAAACATAGGGCACGAAAAAACATTGGATGTCCGGTCTAGCCTAATTAGTCAATGGTAGAATCTTATGTCATTGTCGTATTTCTATCATACATCTCCTAATTTATATCTATTCTATTAAAAATCTCTGAAGTATTTTTTTCGATGTAATTCAATCATCATCTTGATTGAAAGATAGTGTTATCACTACGTTATTACTAATTTCATGTAAAAAGAGCATGGTAATAAAGAAACTTACGCAAGTACATTGTACATATTATGTAGCGTGTATTATAGAACGTATTTACAACATATTTACAATTGTCATTACAAAAGTTGTGTTAATGATACTACAGACTATATATCGATCGATTGATTTACGATTGTATTCACGAACGCTTCAGGCACCCATGAGCTAAAATAGACTATGTTTCATTCCCATTCACACAGTTAAACGCTCATCAAACGCCATTAAACAATGTTGATACACATCTCGAGCAGCGGCGGCAGCACATTCGAGTCTTGCGTCGGAATAATTTAAAAACTTTTAATCTCACGCATCAATTAAGTGACTATAACGTAACTCTTGTACTTTTTTAGAATTCGTAAAAAATAGAAATCTATAAAAAAAAAAAAGGAAAAAAAAAAAAAACAAAAAAAAAAAAAAAAAAAAAAAAAAAAAAAAATGGGAGAAAAAATACAAGAAAAAGAAAACATTGTACGATAGTCGTTTGATTAATTAACTAACACGTTCATTGCGCATCAGCATATAATTTTTCAAAATCACAAATCAAAAATCGTAATTTTTTAACATGTAAATGAAACAACTGTGAGACGCGAAGTTATTTTTGTGAGATGCAAGACATCAAATTTTGAAAAATACTTTCGTAATAATTCACATAAAATAAACACGCAACATTTTGTAACATGTGAAAGTTCGTTCGAAAGATTTTTCGAATTTATCATAGCATATAAAATTATTTAAAATCTTTATTTTCAATTCATCTAATTTTCATTATCTGAAGAATAAAAGTAATTTGCGTCTGAATGTTATTCATTGGTTTATCAAATATTAACTCTCTTACATAATTATTCAATTATTTAATTATGGTAAATATTGTTAAATTTTTTTGTATAATAGTAACGTGTACAATAATAAACTAAATAATGTTTTACAAGAAAATTTTATAAATTACAAGTCAATTGAATTTTTTCTATTTGATATAACATCCCGAAATTGTAAAAACTGTTTGCATTTATCAATTAACTAATATTATCAGATGACAATATCATCATTGTGCAACTCAAAAATGACAATATTATTGACATAAAAGACTTATATAAATATACCGCGTTTTAGACATTCAATTTACTAATTTCTAATTATCATCTATGACAATTATTTGATAATTATTGTCTAGAAAAAGAAATTCCTTACCGATTTGGAATTCTTTGATCTTAAAATATGTCGTCGTCGTCTTGAACAACTTTTTAGGTCGATCAGAACAGCAGTTTGATCTTAGATATTTATAAAAATTATTTAAAGAGCAAACTTATAATTAAATTATAATTTTTATAAATTATTAAATTTATAAAAGTTTATAAAAATATTTGAGATATTTATAAAAATTCCTTAAAGGACAAACATTTCAATAATTCTTGAGTAAAAAATATACTTTTTTTCTTGGGTCCGGCAAATAATTGATTCATTAAGAATCATTCATTTTTGCAAATTGTTTGCAAATAACAGCAATGTTTCCAGACATTACTTAACTTGAAATAATATCTTTTTAAAAAGAGCTAATCATTTTTTATAAAATGATCGGCTGATGTAAGATCAAACCTGGAATCCCTACTCGACCTATTTCAAATAAGTACTTTACTTTCATTTCCAAATTTTTTCGCAAAATTGTGGCTCTTAACTTTTATATAAAATGAAGTTATTTTCAAAATTTTAGCCAAACTGGAAGTGGAACATTTTTGGAAAATGCGCCATTTTTTACATGTACCTCGAAAACTAAAACTGAGAGCAACATGTAAAATGAATCAAAAAAATCTGAAATATCTCGTTTCCTAGTAATTTTATTAAAAAGTGTGTGAAATGAAATTTATTGTGTTCGAATGGACTATTTAGGTGAATATATTTGATTTTTGGATATCTTATATTTTCGAAGATATCAAAGCGATCTTAAATTTTTCAAAGATATTTAATACATTTATACATCTATTAATTGGTGCAGTTCTCTACAAAAAAAGTACTAACCTATATATTTTAAAAATATAATAACATAATAAATTTTACTTCAAACATTTTTTTTTTTTATAAAACCAAGAGGAAACGAGTTGTTTCAGATGGACATTCTTATTAACTCACCCTGTATATAAGAAAAAGTTGTTCAGAATGTTGACCTTGACGACATATTTGAAATTCATTGAAATCGGTGAGGAGTAACCTTTTCTAGATAATTTTTAAAAATATTTTTTAAAAAAGAATATAATCCCATATTTTTTAAAAAAGAATATAATTTCAGTAAAAAAGTATGAAAAATTTTTAAAATAGTCGATAAATTACTGGTAACGTATATCTAGAATCGTGGAAATTGATAGAAGTTAATTATAAATTCTTGTCAATATTCTGACTCAAATTTCTGAATCACTTGATGAATAAAAAGATATTTTAATATAATATTGTTAAGAAAGAAACGACTGTTTAATGTTAAAGATTTTTTAAAATCTTTCAGAAATAAGTAATTAATGCTTAATATTCTGACAATTGATAACTTTGGCACGTTTAAGAGGATGCCACGTTAGATAATAAAATAATAATAATAAAAATTTAGTTTTAGTAACATTCAATTTCAGTAAAATTGAATTTTACAATATTTCTCTTCTCTAAAAAGTAGAAATATGACTTGTCGTTTTGTCCGCTTGCAATGTTGGTACAGAAATATATTTTGTATAAAAATAATTTATTGCCGCATACAGCATTAGTAGTTCAAATCTGATCAGCAGTGAACGTATTAAGCAGTAAATTATTATTTTATTGCGCATGACGTTTCGTTCCAATTGAAAAACATGCGCATATGATATTTATTTTGTTCGACAAATCTGATTCTCATTATCATTCTCTATTATCTCTCTATGATCATTACGACATACAAAATCATACTAAAGAATTCTTTACTTTCTATATACGCATATATAAATAAATTTACATTCTACATACATGTACATAGAAAGTTGAGTTATTAAAGTGTGTATGTACAGGGTGGTTCGGTAACTGTCGCTATTTTAATCCTCTATAACGAATTTTAATTTGGAAATCTGAATTTGAATCTTTTTGAATATATCATCTTATATATTTATTTATGTCGTTGCATGTAAAAATTTAAACTTGTAATAACAATTAAAAAATTCCAATCAATGACGAGTTTTACCGCTTGTGATAAGCGAATGAAATTCTTGTTATAGAGAATTAATATTCCCCAGAATGAGGAAACTAGAGAAAAATATTTAATTATATAATAGAAAAGATTTAATCATATAATCCTTATTCTGCTCTTTCTATATAAGTATTATTAATTTAATTAAACAATTGTCTTACAAAAATTTAATGTTATATTAATTTTCAATTGGTACTATTGAGTCATAGGTGATCACAATAGTTTAAATTAGATTTGAATTGGGTTACTTAATTTTGAAGTATTTAATTTTAATTTGCATCCTATACGTAAGAAATATCGCTGGTGATTTTTATCACATAAAATGCAGAATACAAATTAAAAGAAAATACTTTCAAATTAAGTAACTTGACATGAATTATTGTTAATTAGAATGGAGCTATGGTTGAGGGTAAAATTCCTCTTTTCATCAATACAGTCATTAAAATTCTTAAAAATTTAAATTTACGAATAATTAAAATTAATTTTCCAATCCTTAAAAAATCTTCTATCTTTCTAATAAATAACGAATAAATTCTTGGTATCATAGAGTATGTGTGTATTATAGAGTTATATTCTACTATAATACTTGATGTCGTCGCATCTTTTTATATCATGCAATCTTTGCTACATAAATACTTTTCTATTCTCCATAATTTTCAAAAGTATTAAGGTGACAATTACCCGACTACTCTGTAAAATGTTTCATACGGTAAACGATACTTCGTAAATGAGAGATTTTCGGTTGAAAGTCATTAATTCTTGACAGCTGAGCGCAATTGTTGCTCGATTAGAAAGCCAACAATCAACAGACTGATGATGAATTTGAAGAATTAATTCATTTTTAAGCGAGAAATCTGTCATTTGCTGGATTCATACTATCTTATGAAACAACCTGTACACATATGAATTCGCTACAAGTATTACACGCGGTGCTCTTGTTCTCTCGGTCAGACACGTTACTTACAAACATAAATAAGTCTAATTACAAGAAAAAGAAAGGATATCTTTTTCTTTTTTGTGCCGGCTTACGTATAATAGATACTTTCGACGAGCGCAAAAATCTCGAATACAGAACAACGACAGATCAAATGTATATGACATACTCTTCAAATAATGACGTTACTCTTTTATTATTTTTTTCTCACACTGTAACACCGAGTCATTAAAAATTATAAAATTTTTCGAGTCATTAAATTAATATCACTAAATGATCTATTAACCGACCGTACGTTTGAACGTTAGATAAAATATTTGAGTTGAGTAAGAAAAAGAAAAATAAAAAAAAAAGGGAAGAAAGAGAAAAGAAAGATGAATAGATAGAAAGAAATGATTCGGAGTATCGATAAATAACCCCGATTTGTTACGTACATATATATATATTACAATGTATCCACTAAAATCGGATAAAAATCACGTGTCGGAATTGCACGTATTCGTCAATCGATTGTCTCCGTTCAGTTATTCACTTTTACTTCTGCCGGCGATGAAAATTATTACGATCATTAATACAGAAGCATTTGTTTCGAGAAATTACACTATCTACTAGTCGAAATTTGGCACCAGACGACCGATGATTTTCTGTGACGCTTGAAATCCGCCATCGATCAAGCGTTTGCAGTTTATGTCAAACACAAGCGAACAGACACTGGAATCTATTTTATCCAATCGAACTGAGAATCGAGCCGAATTGAGTGACAATTGTTTAATTCGAATATCAAATTGCACTTTGATCAGCTGATTACTTCGCGAATTTAAAATTCACGTCAATTTTTAAGTTAGAAATCGATCAAACAGATTATAAGATTTTATTTTAAACATGCACTTGTATAATATGCCCGATTATGTTTCATTTTTAGTAATAAAATTTTAAAAATGTAAATTTTCGTTTATCTGTCAACGAACAATTTATCATAGCCATATTCGTTTGATTTTTATAAAAGCTCAAATAAGAGATTGCATATCAAGAATAAGAGATCCAATATAACGATCGTGCTACTTTATTTTTATACTTAAATGCAATATCTAATAAAGGTAACATTTTATAAATGTAGGGAAAAATATAGAAACAACGTTATTGACAACAGTTTAAAAAGAAATAATTGAAATGAGTCATTAATCTGTAGACATCTTTCTCTTACTAGAAGTATTTCAATTTGTACCTTAAAATAGATATCAAAATTATTACATGTATGATTGTGATTAAAAATAATGTAAATTATAGTTTTAGGCAATATGCAATTTCTTACTTAGAATTTTACAAAATCTTCAGAGAAATGCCTAAGTCTATTTTCAAGCGTTCGTTAATAAAAAATAAAATATAGATATCTATACACAGACTTACAAAAAAACAATACATTCGAGTAATCTGCGCACGTCGATATTATATTATGTAGATTGTTGTATTTCGTATTACAATATTTGCAAGCCTGTGTACACTTTAAAACCAAATAAATATTTATTAATGGACTGCGAATTTCTATGTATTTGATTATGGGAAATTTGAAAGTCCGAAATGCACAGATGCATGTAAATTATAATGATACAATAATATAAGATATAATATTATAACGAACAATTTTCATCCATATTCTAGTAATCGTAAATTTTCTAATAAAATAAAAATTGTTCGATGGCACACACGAACAAGTAGAGAAGTAAGGAAAGAAATAAAAATGATCCCACAACATTAGGTACTCGACTCGATCCCTCCATCGATCGAATTAACGATTCGTCAATTGATTTTACTCGCAAAATTCAGCTATGTAATCTGATTTGCGTTCGATTCATCGTCAGTTCGAACGCGCTGTCCGTACACATTGTACACATCTTGCTAATCCCGGACGATCAATGGCAACCGCAGCTCTTGACGACCATGTTTTTGTACTTCTTCAGTATAACATTGCTTTCGTCGAGGAAATACAGCACGGAGATCGGCGAGAGCTTGGTGGGTGCACAGCAAGGCTTTGGTACCTTACCAGGGCTGACCAGATGCACCAACGTTTGGACGATCGCATGATTCGTCGCGTTCATATGAGCGTTCAAAGGAAAATTGCATTCACCGCTGCAATAATATGCGTCGTATCCGTCCGGTGCTATGATCCAGTCCTAGAAAATAAATATTCATCGATTACCGATCGGTACGCGGCAAGCTAGAAGACCTGACGATCGTCGTACACGATTGCATCAAATCCATCTGTTATTACGCTTCCTCGCGTAACTTACCTGCCACTTTAGATCCCTGAAGCTCACGTACAATGTTTGAATTTTGCAAGTCCTCGAGTTGTACTGCACGCCTGGATCTGAGAAAAATAGCAACAAATGGTTCTATAGTACGCTTCAAAGACGTATCCGAATTTAATACGATCTAAAGAATATGTATGTTAGATGTCAATATATTCGCGTCGGCTCAACTGAAGTCGAATATAACGTAATTTATGAGCAAATTTATGAACTTTTCAAAGGAAAATACTATAATTCTTTAACTAATTTTAGGTATTTTATAAAAAGATTTGGAGAAAGTCATAGTTTCACATGTCGGAAATGCATATATATTTATTTATATTTTAAAATAAAATATTTATTAATCGTGTGTGTACATACATATATATATTAATTTTATAATGAAATAAAATTCCAATTTTCATCAATTTGTTTTCAAAAGTATCTGAAAAATATAGTCACTTATACAGTGAAGATAAAAAAAATTATCGGTAATTTAAATTATTACAATTTCATTAAAAAAATTACACAATACACTTGGTTCCATTTTAAAACATTTAAGACCTCTATTTTTACAATCTTGAATTCGGTTTTACCAATGATAATTTTACATCATGTAACGAATGGGAAATTAAAGATACTCTTTTCTTAGAAATTGTAAAAATTAAAATGTCTCTAAAACCAAAAAATATTTTTTTCATGACTAGATCCATCTTGGAAATTGAAATTTATTGTACAATTTTTTTTTTTACCATTTTAAACTTTAAACGTTGGAACTAAATGACAAAATGTTCGGATTTCATGAATTTTTGTCGTCCAATCCTAATATTCAAAGTTTAAGAAAATACTGAAAAAAATTGTATAGCATGTTTTAACAATTTGTTGCAAAGGAGAGACATCATTTTTCAAAATTATGATGAATCTAGTCACGAAAAAAATTATTAAATGCATGAAAGTAATAGGATCGCAGATAGATTTAAATCAGTTGTATTTATTTGTTTTTTTGAAATATATCGTAGGTGTACATTTTATATATTGCACATTATATAAAATATTATGTATAACATTATTGGTATACACCAATATATACACCAATATTATAAGATATATTAAGCAATACAAGATATAGCTTAAAAAATAGAATTAGAAATAATAAAAAAGAAAAAAATTTAATACACTATACTAGATATATAAAAATTATTGATTAAATAAATAATGAAAAAAAAAAATGAAATACATTCAAAATATAACTTATTTTATATTTATTGCAAATGTCAAATAATTGAATTATTAACCGATGATAAAATATACAAAGTTACATTATAAATAATGATAAACTAAATATTTTGACAAACATTGTAAACACATTTATATTAGAAGAGTATTGAGCAATGTTTATATTCTGGGATTATATTTAAAATACCTATATTCTTAAAAAATTAATGAGAAGGAATGATTCCTCGTTTTTTTGTTTTTGTTTTCTTATATACATGTTTGATTTCATTCTTATATACATGTTTGATTTCATTTGTTATTATCGAACGGAGGAACACATTTAGACACATACATATATATTTCTTTCGACATCAATTTATTAAAATTAATAAATCGTTCATTTATTTTTGTGCACGATTTTACTAGAAACTTTTGTTGTATTGTGTTCTTGTAAGAGAACTATGAAGCTGAAAATTATGGAGGTGCTCTCCATAACAGTCGACAAGATATTAAACAAGCTGTATGTACAAAGTACTAAACGTTTATGTTAAATGTTTAGTACTTTGTACATAGAATAAGTTACGTTAGCTCAATTTAAAACAAGAATTATTGAACGATTTTAACACGCAATCAAGATAAGATAAAATCAGAATGGATCTCTCTTATTTCTGAGAATCTTTTCATTTAGTAGTTAGTTTTTCAATTACATTTTTATAATATTCAGTAATATTATAATATTTTTTCCTATAATATATAGAGTGATTCACACAATTGTGAACAAGCAATATCTTTCTGTTAGTTAAAATTAAAAAAAGACATCTCAGGAAAAAGATGAGTGATTCAAGGTGGACTACATATTTATAATTATATTTCTTATACAAATACTATAATGCATGCATATTTTACATATTTTACTTGTATTATTTTTTGAATATTTTACTTGTATTATTTTTGGAAATCTTTTTTTTCTTTCACGTTACATAAGAAAGTATCAAAGAAAGTATATGTATGATTGGAAAGTAATTAATTTATAAAATACTTTAATTTTAATTTTACATCCTTTGCCACTGTCTTTAAAATATGTTTTACAAAATTCAAGTTAAAATGTCTTTTAAACTAATCATTTTTCGACTATGTTATTCTAATATTTTTGTATATAGGATGTTTATAAAAAAAGAAAATATTTTCATTAAAAAAAAATAATGTAACTGTAAAATACTGAATTATTGATGTGAATATTATTTGAAAGAAACACATGATCGTTAGTACGTGGTACTAACAAGATTTTGATCTTCATCTTCTTTTTGTAACATTTTTTTCTAACGTTAATTAAAAAAATAATATGGCTTATTTAAATCACTCTATATATCACATATTTAAAATTTAATAATATTATATTATTATATTTATTTATTATATGTTATATTATTATATTATTTATTTAATGTATTTGGTTGTATACCTAAATCGTACAACAACAACTTTAAACATAATATTAATCAATTACTTTTTTGTAATACCGATTAAAAGACCTAATCTTCAATGTCTTAACCCAGAATATAAAAAGGTAGAAATGGAAATGATAGATTTATTGATTCATCGGACGTTACCTTCCGGACTTACCGGTGTACGGGTTATTTCGATAATCCAAACTCGACGACTCGCTCTTCTTTTTTCTCCTGGCATCACGTTTCTGTCGTACTTTCGACTCTCTGATGCCAGAACTCTTAAAGTAACCCACCATGAAGGGCTGCTTGTCAGGATTACCCCTGAACCCGACAATCCCAACGTCTTCTGGTCTCACTTCGTGTACTAAAAGCATAATGATGTTTGGTTTGATAATTAAATGCGACACATTCTTTTTATTCAGTATAATTCAGTATTATTATTCAGTCATTAAACAGATGTATAATTTGCCTGCGTTTTATGTAGAAGAATACCTTTTTAAGAATTTTCAAACAACTTGGTTGAAAATGATAAATTTTTGGAGTAAACTCTGTTTGAAAATATCACAATATTACAAGATTTAAATTATGGTAAATTGTTCAAATATAAAAATTTTTAGTCAGCAAAAATTCTCCGAAAGTAATACTCAATTTTAATTAAAATATTATAAGTACACTACGGATTTTTATGCGAAATTTTAAAGTCTGAGATTAAAATACTAAAATGCACATCATAGGAAAAAATATATAAAATATTATATATAAATATAAATATATAAAGTATAATATATATAATATATAAAGTATAGTACTTTTTATAACAACATTTGATACCTAAAACAATCTTCTATTTTTTTTATTTGCATTTTCAAAAATATGAACTTACATAAAAATGTGCAATCTAATTATAAATAGTTTAAAATTCAATAAAATTAGTATAATTATTATATATTAATACTATCAATAGAGAATTCGTGTGATGGAATTCTTTAATAAATATCGAATTGATCAATATTTTATTCACAACAAAAGGTAATTGAATCAATTGATTAATCAAGATTCGACAGATTTGATCGTAATCAATTCAAAATCATTTTATTTTAATCGAAATATTCTTTCAAGCTTTTACGTTCGTTTTCATTAGTCAAGTCTCTTGTCTTCGACTGCCACTTTATTATTATGAATCCGTTACTTTTATGTCACTTGAAATATTCTTCAAAAATGATGTTGAAGTTTTTTTCAACTTTGATTTGAAAGAGATAATAGTTGCTAGATAACTTAGATGAACACAATATAGCAGAGTCTTAAAATATTGTCAGTAGCTAAAAATTTATGTTTCTAGAATGAAAAGAATTATTTAAAATCTTTCCGGAGTCATAAAGATCTTGAACTTTGCTTAACCTTCATGAATTTACAATCGTTATATCGTTTCCATAACGTTTTTGTAATTTCATATTTATTGCTAGCTTTTTAAATTGATTTGTAAAATAATTTTACATTGTTTACATTACAAATTACAAATTTCGATAACAAGTCAATCTAAATGGATGTGTAAGATGACGCTAAAAAAAAGGAATGAACAGTATTACACGAAATATAAACAGATTCGTATTAATAAAAGTTTTAAATTTAATTCAAAATAAAACTATTCTCAAGTCACTACTTATTATTAAATTCTACTACTAAATTTCAACAAATCTGAAAAATTCATATTTTACGATACTTGATAAAATTTGAAAACTATTTTATTTTGGCGATTCCTTTGTTAACTAAAAATATTGAAAGACAAATTATTCAATTTCTACAATGTTACAAGTTTTACACGATTGCTTTCAGACAAAATTAATTAATTCGATTAATCAATAGTAATTTCATTTCTTGCCGCGTTCTTTGTGTCAATGTTTCAAATAATAAAATATAAAACAAATGAATATCATACGGCACATAAACTCAAAAAACGCAATAGAGCATAATATCAGATGCTGCATTTTCTTTTCACTTCAAAGGTACTCTGCAAATAAACAACAAGTTACAACATATAATAAACAACAATTCATACGTACAATACTCTAGAGAGAACATTTTAATTCGGTGACACCTAATTATCCTGTTTGATTCAATAAGTGGAATGCACGCGTGAACGATTACGATTCGCTCACATGTTTGTTAGAATGGCCTGCCAGTTGGAATTATTAATAGGCAACCTTCAGGAATATTAACTATTTAAGAATCTCGAGTCGGTGTCAGCTGACTCTCTCTCGATAGAGCATGATCGAGGGAGCCGTTCACTTGGCCGATATAGGCGACAGTTCATGGTTTCCCAACACGTTGGCCCTGCAATTAAGTCGCCGCTGCACCATTTGCGCGTTCAATTAATTGATCGTTCCGTCAGCTGGCACGCATTGATCGATCGATTATTCTTAATTATGTTGGCGCGGCATGCATGAAACAAGGAGAAGCGGTCACGCACAGAAATTTCTGGATATGTATATATATATATATATATATATATATGTCCGTGGTGAAAACGCGTGGAATTCAACGTGATCGTGAACGTCGTTTCGTAATATAATCGGAACTTAGAAGAAGTTATGGCACTTGTTTATCATAATTATTGGGGCTGTCTTAATTATTCATGCAATAATAATCACGCTTCTCTCTTAACAGTTCGCGGTGTGACAAAAATAGAGCCATTTTACATGAATTAGCATAAAGTGTCGCAACCTCTGGCTCTGTACATTAGTGACATTAATGTCAAGAATATTATTTCCACGCTGCCGATGGTGACACTAGATTGGAATGGAACCGTCGTGAAAGTATGGATCGTATTTTCAATCGAGAAATTTGCACCTTGAATGATAAATAACAGCTACACAGCATACACAGCGTACGCAGCACGGTTGTTATCGTATTAATTTAAAACATGTTGAACCGATATCAATTTCGCTCGGAAATGATGTGTGTTAAAGGACCCTGAGGAAATCTGGTTTCGATAATGTACTTTCGAATTAATATGATACACATATGCATATATACATACGTTACACACGTGTGTACATACGTAGTTATACTTGGGTTACACTATATGTAAATTACGTTTTTAAAGCTTTTGATTAAATCTTGAAAACTTTGCTCCAAGATGCAAATTTCTCGGTTGAAAACACCATCCACACTTTTACGAGGAATGACTTTACTGGCGGATCATTCTTCTTTTCACACGAGATTTTGTCGTCGATTCAACTCGATCTTCATTTACGATATTATATTGAATTAATTGTACACGTACAAGAAATCATAAAAATTTAGCAATTAAAGGAAAGATTGTTTCAGGTCCAGTTAAAAGAAAATATACTAGAAAATGTTTATTTTAATACCAACATCAGAATTATTTTTTCAATGAAATGAAATACAGTTTTAACAATATCTAATGTAACAAAATTTATCATATATTTTTATTTTGTATTTTTCATTAAAATAAATACAAACATATAGAAAAAAAATTGAGTTATTAAACTCTGTAATCTTACAATGCAATATATATATATATATATATATATATGTTATGTGTTATCTTTAATATTATATTTAAGATAATTGATATCTATTTTTAATGTCTTATGGAAGACGTAAATCTTCAAAAATTCAAATTTATCAAAACTTTCAAAATCTTCAAGATTTAGTTAAGATTTTAAAAACGTGAATTATAATACTTAATAAAATTCAAAATTCAAACATCATTTATTAAGATTTTTAAACATCGAACTCCAAATTGTTTAAAAATTAAGATTCCAATGTCTCGTCGAATAAGCATTTTGGAGCAAAATTTTTATAAATATTTCTTTTAATAATAGAATTTATCTATACAGAAAACTGAATAAAAATTATTTTGTTGACCATTATTTAAGTGAAAAAAGCGTACAATAATATTTTTTTCTATAGTCTTTTTTTATTGGTATTCTAAGTTTTATTTTATTGTTTTTATTCTTATCATAATTTTTTATTATTTTATTCTTTTTCTTTCTCACTGTTACACTTAATGACATTATATTTAATTATATTAAATCAAAGATTACTTAAAGATCAGACTGCGGATTTTTACACAGAAAATTTATAAGTTCAAAATTCTTTTTTCAAAACATATGTATATAATATGAAATTTTATAGTATGATATTTTATTAGTATGTGAAACAATTTTCTATCGAGATTTTATTTTTGTCATTATATTTCCAAAAATATGAACATGTAATTTAGTGATGATTATTAAAATGTAATGTAATTCCAAGCTCATACATGCTCATTAGATTTTTATTCAGCTAGATTAGTGATCCGCCGCATTGTGTAAACTGTTCCAACATAATAATAAAAATGTATATCATTTTTTTAAAACGCTGCTAAAGGAAGAATATCAGTTTTCAAATTTACATTACGAAAACAATTTTTCATAAAAATTGGTCAATTCTGTAATCTTGCTTGATCGTAGAGAATTTTCAAAAGAAACAATTTTAGATTAGAAGAAACGAATAAAGTTATAGCTTTTTTTAGTTTGTTATAATAAACAGAGAATGCATTTAAAAATTTTTTATTATTAAAGACGTAGAATCTAGAAGAAATTTGTTTCATCTACTACATAGAATGTCTCAAATTTAAATATCAAAATTTTGTCTGAAATTTAAATGTCAAAGTGAAAAAATGAAAACATTTTTATTATTTTTTTCGTTCGAATGAGCAAATCTGAAAAGTACTTTTTTTCTAGTCTATCAGTTCCTTACACATTCCCGAAGTTTTGGCATTTAAATCAGGGACATCCTATATATCATAATGTGTTCTATGGTGAATATTTCATATATATATATTTGTATATTATATACATTGAGTACATATTCCTGCAACTCTCAGTTTTCCACAAATACATAAAATTCGGATCCCAATTATGACTCTCTTAGGTTATAAATTATAACAATTTGATGATCGACAATTTTTCAAGAAAAACCTTTACTTTAATCGTCAAATGTAGAATTTAAAAAACGGAAAATTAAAATTCATTATAAACGAACATTATACGAAATTACATAGCTTTGAAAATAAGGTTGCAAAATAAGGAAAATTTAAGAATGTTTTTGGAGATAGAATTATATTTCATTAAAAAAATAATATGCATATCTGTTCAATTAGTAATTAATAAAAATTGGAATTAAATATACTAAAGTAGAAGAACAAGATTGTTTCATCAAAATCCCATCTGCGGTATATCTCTCTAAGATTTTATCTGAAGCAAATTTTTTTAAATTTTATGTTAAATTGTGTAAGAGAAACTTGCCGATTTCAAAAACATCAATTTAAAAAACAAATGACAGTTATCTGAATTA